AACAGCAGATTTAATCGACACTATAGCCCAAATGGATCTAACACATATCTACAGAACTTTCAATCCTACATCTAAAGACTTCACATTCTTCTCAGCAGTGCAAGGAACCTTCTCTAGGATTGATCACATACTAGGTCATAAAGCAAGTCTCAGCAAATTTAAAAGAATTAGAATCATACCATGCAGCTTCTCAGACCACAGTGGAATGAAGCTGGAAATGAGCAACTCAGGAAACCCCAGAAAGTATGCAAACACATGGAGACTGAACAACATGCTCCTGAATGAACACTGGGTCATTCAAGAAATCAAAAGAGAAACCAGAAACTTTCTGGAAGTAAACGAGAATAACAACACAACATATCAAAACTTATGGGATATGGCAAAAGGAATATTCAGAGGCAAGTTTATAGCAATAGGGGCCTATATCAAGAAATTGGAAAGGCACCAAATAAATGAGCTTTCAGCGCATCTCAAGGACCTAGAAAATTTGCATCAAACCAGACCCAAATCTAGTAGGAGAAGAGAAATAATTAAAATCAGAGAAGAAATCAACAGGATTGAATCCAAAACAACATTACAAAAAATCAGCCAATCGAGAAGCTGGTTTTTTGAAAAAATAAACAAAATTGACACCCCATTGGCCCAACTAACTAAAAAAAGAAGAGAAAAGACCCAAATCAATAAAATCAGAGATGAAAAAGGAAACGTAACAACAGACACCACAGAAATAAAAAGAATCATCAGAAATTACTACAAGGACTTGTATGCCAGCAAACAAGAAAATCTATCAGAAACGGATAGATTCCTGGACACATGCAACCTACCTAAATTGAACCATGAAGACATAGAAAACCTAAATAGACCCATAACTGAAACAGAAATTGAAACAGTAATAAAGGCCCTCCCAACAAAGAAAAGCCCATGACCAGATGGATTCACTGCTGAATTCTACCAGACATTTAAAGAACTGATTCCATTTCTTCTCAAACTATTCAGAACAATCGAAAAAGATGGAATCCTCCCAAATTCTTTCTATGAAGCCAGCATCACCTTAATCCCTAAGCCAGAGAAAGATGCAGCACTGAAAGAAAATCATAGACCAATATCCCTGATGAACATAGACGCAAAAATCCTCAATAAAATTCTCGCCAATAGAATACAACAACACATCAGGAAAATCATCTAACCAGACCAAGTGGGATTTATCCCTGGTATGCAGGGATGGTTCAACATTCGCAAATCAATCAATGTGATTCACCACATTAACAGACTGCAGAAGAAAAACCATATGATTATCTCAATAGATGCAGAGAAAGCATTCGATAAGATTCAACACCCTTTCATGATGAAAACTCTAAGCAAACTGGGTATAGAAGGAACATTCCTCAATACAATCAAAGCAATTTATGAAAAACCCACAGCCTGCATCCTATTGAATGGGGAAAAGTTGGAAGCATTTCCACTGAGATTTGGCACCAGACAGGGATGTCCACTCTCACCACTTCTATTTAACATAGTTCTGGAAGTTTAGCCAGAGCCATCAGACAAGAAAAAGAAATTAAAGGAATACAAAATGAGAAGGAAGAAGTCAAACTATCCCTCTTTGCAGACGATATGATTCTTTACTTAGGGGATCCAAAGAACTCTACTAAGAGACTATTGGAACTCATAGAGGAGTTTGGCAAAGTGGCAGGATATAAAATCAATGCACAAAAATCAACAGCCTTTGTATACACAGGCAATGCCATGGCTGAGAAAGAACTGCTAAGATCAATCCCATTCACAATAGCTACAAAAACAATCAAATACCTTGGAATAAACTTAAATCTTAAAGAAAGAAATAGAAGAGGATACCAAAAGATGGAAAAATCTTCCATGCTCATGGATTGGAAGAATCAACATCATCAAAATGTCCATTCTCCCAAAAGCAATTTATAGATTCAATGCAATACCAATCAAGATACCAAAGACATTCTTCTCAGATCTAGAAAAAATGATGCTGAAATTCATATGGAGGCACAAGGGAACTCGAATAGCTAAAGCAATCTTGTACAACAAAAACAAAGCTGGAGGCATCACAATACCAGATTTCAGGACATACTACAGGGCAGTTGTAATCAAAACAGCATGGTACTGGTACAGAAACAGATGGATAGACCAATGGAACAGAATTGAAACACCAGAAATCAACCCAAACATCTACAGGCAACTTATATTTGATCAAGGATCTAAAACCAATTCCTGGAGCAAGGACAGTCTATTCAATAAATGGTTCTGAGAAAATTGGATTTCCACGTGCAGAAGCATGAAGCAAGACCCCTACCTTACACCTTACACAAAAATCCACTCAATGTGGATTAAAACCTAAATCTACGACCTGACACCATCAAGTTATTAGAGAACATTGGAGAAACCCTTCAAGATATTGGCACAGGCAAAGAGTTTCTGGAAAAGACCCGGGAGGCACAGGCAGTCAAAGCCAAAATCAACTATTGGGATTGCATCAGATTGAGAAGTTTCTGTACTGCAAAAGAAACAGTCAGGAGAGTGAAGAGACAACCGACAGAATGGGAAAAAATATTTGCAAACTATGCAACAAATAAAGGGTTAATAACCAGAATCTACAAAGAGATCAAGAAACTCCACAACAACAAAACCAACAACCCACTTAAGAGATGGGCCAAGGACCTCAATAGACATTTTTCAAAAGAGGAAATCCAAATGGCCAACAGGCACATGAAAAAATGTTCAAGATCACTAGCAATCAGGGAAATGCAAATCAAAACCACAATGAGGTTTCACCTCACCCGGTTAGAATGGCTCACATTCAGAAATCTACCAACAACAGATGCTGGCGAGGATGTGGGGGAAAAGGGACACTAACCCACTGTTGGTGGGAATGCAAACTGGTCAAGCCACTATGGAAGTCAGTCTGGAGATTCCTCAGAAACCTGAAGATAACCCTACCATACAACCCAGCCATCCCACTCCTTGGAATTTACCCAAAGGAATTTAAATTGGCAAACAAAAAAGCGGTCTGCACCCTAATGTTTATTGCAGCTCAATTCACAATAGCCAAGACCTGGAACCAACCTAAATGCCCATCAACGGTAGACTGGATAAAGAAATGAAATTATGGGATATAAACTCTTTAGAATACTATACCGCAGTAAGAAACAATGAAATCCAGTCATTTGCAACAAAATGGAGGAATCTGGAACACATCATGCTGAGTGAAATAAGCCAGTCCCAAAGGGACAAATACCATATGTTCTCCCTGATTGGTGACAACTGACTGAACACCAAGAAGGAAACCTGTTGAAGTGAAATGGACACTGTGAGAAACGGTGACTTGATCAGCATAGCCCTGACTGTTAATGAACAACTTAATACATTATCCCTCTTAGTAGTTTTTTTTGTCTGCTCTACTTAATATGACTGGTTTAATTCTGTAATTAATACACAGTTATTCTTAAGTGTTGAAATTTAACTGAAATGTTTTCCCTGTTAGACATAAGAGTGGGAATAAGAGAGGGAAGAGATGTACAATTTGGGACATGCTCAGGCTGACTTGCCCCAAATGGTAGAGTTAGAAACATACCAGGAGACTCCAATTCAATTCAATCCATTCAAGGTGGCATGTACCAATGCCATCTCACTAGTCCCAGTGATCAATTTCAGTTCACAATTGATCATAATGAAAGGACTAAGAGTCAAAGGAAGCACATAAAAAAGTCTAGTACCTGCTAACACTAACCGATAGAATAAATAAAGGGGAGAGTGATCCAACATGGGAAGCGAGATACTCAGCAGACTCATAGAATGGCGGATGTCCTAAACAGCACTCTGGCCTCAGAAGCAGCCCTAAAGGCATTCTGATCTGGCTGAAAAGCCCATGAGAGTATTTCAGGCATGGAAAGCCAAGACACTCTGGGGAAAAAAAAAAAAAAACCTAAATGAAAGATCTCTGTGAGAGAGATCCCAGTGGAAAGAACAGGTCTTCAAAGAAGGAGGTACCTTTCTCTGAAGGGAGGAGAGAACCTCCACTTTGACTATGACCTTGTCTAAACAAGATAAGAGTCGGAGAACTCAAGGGGCTTCCATAGCCTTGGAAACTCATGACTGGAGCATGGGGAGATTACTGAGGCCATAAACAAGAGTGTCAATTTGTAAAGTCAACAACAGGAGTCACTGTGCACGTACTCCTCATGTAGGATCTCTGTCCTTAGCGTGCTGTACATTGAGACTTAATGCTATAACAAGTACTCAAACAGTATTTTTCACTTTGTGTTTCTATGTGGGTGCAAACTGTTGAAATCTTTACTTAATATATACTAAACTGATTTTCTGTATATAAGGGAAATGAAAATGAATCTCGATGTGAATGGAAGGGGAGAAGGAGCGAGAAAGGGGAGGGTTGCGGGTGGGAGGAAAGTTATGGGGGGAAAGCCATTGTAATCCATCAGCTGTACTTTGGAAATTTATATTCATTAAATAAAAGTAAAAAAAAATGCTCCCACAATCCTTCTCAATGACTGTACTTTCTGTCTTGGTTTCATATTGATTCAGGCAAGGGGCTGCTTCGGTGAGATTGCATTTGTACTGAACTTTGAAATATGGACAAGATTGGGAATGGATTAAGTCAACAAATGAGATTTTAGAAAGAAAAAGAAACATGACTGGTTTGCCATAGAAAGTAAGATTATGAGGGCAAACATGGAGGTGAATTTGGTAGTTCAGATGGAAAGGAATTTGGCAGGAAGATGAAAGGGCAATTACAAACCGTTTGTGTGTATCAAGAATTTGAGTGCAGGCCGATGCCTCAGCTCAGTAGGCTAATCCTCCACCTGCGGCGCCAGCACACTGGGTTCTAGTCCTGGTCGGGGCGCCGCTTCTGTTCCGGTTGCCCCTCTTCCAGCCCAGCTCTCTGCTGTGGCCCGGGAGTGCAGTGGAGGATGGCCCAAGTGCTTGGGCCCTGCACCCCATGGGAGACCAGGAGAAGCACCTGGCTCCTGCCTTCATATCAGCGCAGTGCGCCAGTCGCAGCGCACCGGCCGCGGCGGCCATTGGAGGGTGAACCAACGGCAAAAAAGGAAGACCTTTCTCTCTGTCTCTCTCTATATCTCACTGTCCACTCTGCCTTTCAAAAAAAAAAAAAGAACAAGACCATATCTTTTCCTGAGTGTGCCACACAGATGTTTTTCTTCTTTGGCTTGGGGGGCAATAACTGCTTCATCTTGGCTGCTATGTCCTATGACCGTTACACAGCCATCCACAACCCACTGCATTATCCCATCCTGATGACCCGTAAGGTCTGGTTTCTACTCATGATGGCCTCTTGTATTGTTGGGATCCTAATTTCTCTGTGCATCATCACCATTGTATTCAACTTGTCCTATTGTGATTCCAACATGGTCCAGCATTTCTTCTGTGACATTGCACCTGTGGTTCACCTTGCTTGTGATTACACTTCCTATCATGAAATGGCTATATATATGCTCTCTGCCTTTGTATTGTTAGGCAGTTTTGTTTTAATTATGGTTTCCTATGTCTTCATAATTACCGTAATTATGAAGATGCCCTCTACAGAAGGAAGGTATAAGGCCTTCTCAATCTGTTCCTCCCACTTCACTGCGGTGTCCATACACTATGGATTTGCTTGCTTTGGCTATCTGAGGCCCAAAGACAGTGACACATTCCGTGAAGACATGCTGATGGCTGTGACATACATGGTTCTAACACCACTGCTTAATCCCATCATTTATAGCCTTAGAAACAAAAAAATGCGAACAGCTCTAAAGAAAGTTCTAGACAATGGCAATCAATTTGTCCTCCATCTGGCAAATAAAAGAGAACAGAGCATTTAAAAATTTCTGGTTTGAGGGGCCAGCGCTGTGGTGCAGGGTGTTAAAGCCCTGCCCTGAAGCGCAGCCATCCCATGTGAGCGCCAGTTCATGTCCTGGATGCTCCTCTTCCAATGCAGCTCTCTGCAATGCTTGTTAAAGCAGTAGAAGATGGCCCAAGTCCTTGGGCCCCATCACCCACATGTGAGACCTGGAAGAAGCTCCTGGTTCCTGGCTTCAAATCGGCACAGCTCAAGCTCTTCTGGCCACTTGGGGAGTGAACTAGTGAATTGAAGACCTCTCTCTCTCTCTTTACCTCTCCTCCTCTCTCTGTATAAATCTGACTTTCAATAAATAAATAAGTAAATCTTTAAAAAAAAAAATTGGAATGTATCTCACAATTCTTCCCTAGTGTCGGGTTTCTGTTGAGAAATCTGATGTATGAGTCTGAGATCCTCTGAAAATAATCTGGCATTTCTCTCACGTATATTTTAGAATATTTTATTAATATTTTACTGTGGAGAGTTCAATTACAATGTGGCAAGGTGAAGATCTTACCTGGTCATGCCTATAAGGAGTTCTGTGTGCTTCTTGTAATTGTATATCCCTTTCTTTCTCAAAAATAGGGAAGTTTTCTGTTATTATTTCACAAAAAGGCCTTCTAATTCTTTTTCTTTTTCCACACCTTCAGGAGCTCCTAAACCTGTATTTTGGGTAGTTTAATAGTATCTTGTAAATTCATGATAGTGTTTTTTAGTTTTCTAATTTCTTCTTCTTGTTTTTTTGAATGTCTGTATAATTTCTTGTGATTTGTCTTCTAAGTCAGATATTCTTTCTTCTGCTTCACTGATTCTGCATTTTTATTTGTTCTATTGAGTTCTTTTTTTCCAAGATCATTTGCTTTCTCTTTAAGATCTCAACGTCATGGGAGAAATTTTCTTTCGTGTCATGTATGGATTTCATTATTTCATACATTTGTTTCTGATTACTTCCAATTAATCCAATGATCAATTTGTTTAATTCCATTTCTGGCATTTCCTCAGTCTCTTCATGTTCACCATCTATTACTGAAGTTTTATGTTCTTTTAGTGCATTGAGTTGTGTTCCTTATTTTTATATCGTGAATTGGTACATTTGTTGTTTGGCATTTGTGGAGATACTCATTGCTTTATTCTGTTTTTGTTTTTTTTTTGTTTTGTTTTGTTTTGTTTTGTTTTGTTTTGCTATGGTGGCTTTTATTATGGACTATTCCTCTGTGGATTTGTTGAGTGTCTGCTTTTACAGTGAATACCTAGAGGTGTGTGTTGGGTGTGTACAGGGAATTCTGTTCAGTGCTCCACAGTGATGGGAGTGTTAAGGTGACACCAAGATTGGGCGTGGTAAATCTCCTTATATTTTTTTTATTCAGAGAGAAAGATTGTTTTGCTCTATTTTAGACTCAGCTTACTTCCTTTCCTCAAAGGATACCAGTTCCTGGGTGCTAGCCTCAGTGGGTACAACATTCATCCACACTGATACAAGGACCATACACAGGATCTGTGCAGTTCTCAATGTAAGCACACATCCCACAGCAATGTTCCTTACCAGGGAACCAGGGAGCCAGGGAGCCCTGAGCCTGTGGAGCCTTCCACAATGGCTGCCCAAAGTCCCAGCCACACCCTGAGCCCCCCCATGCAGCCTCAGTGTTTTCAGCATCCCAGCAAACAAGCCTCCTATAGTCACAAGCAGCCAGCCCTCTTTCAGTTCTCCCCACCAGACTCAGGAGTCTTCTCTCAACTCATTGCTGGATACCAACATGAGCTGGCACAGCTGTTACCTATGTCCAAAATGGTGCCTTCTCTCTATTGGCTTGTTACAGGATTCAATTGCAGGTGATTTGGGAGGGAGAAATGTTCCCCCCTTTTTTTCTTCTCTAGTTTGGCAGGCACAGGGCTCTAAGCTGGATTCTTTCCAGGCTCTTCCTGCAGCCTTATCACCAGTGGCTTAGGCTGCTGAGTCTGGTCTCACCTGACTCTCCAAAGCTGGTGTGGAGGCTCTTGTCGCTGGGGTCCTGAGTTTTGCATGTCCACGCACTCCACATAGATCCACTGTGTCCTTCTAAATTGCATGTAGTTTCTTCTGCCATTTTCTCCCTAACTCTTCCCTGAGACTGCACTCTCTCCACTTGTTTTAAACTATCTTCTCCTAGACTAGAGAGGTAAGCTCACTCCCTACTCCGCCATCTTGATCCTCCCCATTCATGTTTGCAAATTTTTGTGATACAAATATTTCACTTTTTTGGTTAAATTTATTCCTGAGTATTTGATTTTTTTGTGGCTATTGTGAATGGGATTTCTTTCTTGATTTCTCTTTCAGTGAGTTCATTATTAGCATATTAAAAGCTGTGGGTTTTTTATATGTTTATTTTGTAACATGGATCGTTACTGAATTGGTTTATCAATTTTAACAGCTTTTTCGTGGAGTGTTTGGGTTTTTCCATGTCATCTGCATTATGTCAGCATTATGTCATCTGCAAACATGTAGACCTTGAATTCTCTTTTTCAATATTCATGTACTTTATTTCTTTCTGCTCCCTAATTACTCTTGCTAAAATTTCCAGTAGTGTATTGAATAAGAGTGGTGAAAACGAACATCCTTGTCTTGTTCCATATCTGAGGGAAAATGCTTTCAGCTTTCCCCCATTCAGTATGATATTGGCTATTGGTTTTCCATATACAGCCTTTATAATCTTGACTAATGCTCTTTCTGTACCGAATATGTTATAAGTTTTTATTCATGATGCATTCTTGAATCTTTTCAAATGCTTTCTCTCCATCTATTGAGATGATTTATTGTTTTTCATTCTGTTGTGATGTGATTTATGATGTCATTGATTTGCAAATGCTAAAGCACACATGCGTTTCTGGTATCAATCCCACATTATTATGATGTATGATGTTTTTGATATGGTTTCTGATTTGATTTGCTACTGTTTTCTTGAGAATCTTTGTGTATATGTTCATTATAGATATAGGTCTGTAGTTTTCCTTTTGTGTTGTGTCTTTCTTTGGTTTGGGTATCAAAGTAATGTTGGCAAAATTTCATCCTGTTCTATATTTTAGAATAGTTTGAAGAGTATTTGAGTCATTTCCTCTTCGAATGTTTTGTGTAATTCAGTAGTAAACAAAATCAGCCCTTAAGGCATTCTGGTGTGGCTGAAAAGCCCACCAGAGCATTTCAGGCATAGAAAGCCAAGACACTGTGGCAAGAAATGTCCTACATGAAGGATCTCTGTGGGTGAGACCCTAGTGGAAAGAAGTGGTCATCAAAAAAAAGATGTACTTCAATTTCATTTCATTTTGAGTCTGTATAGATTGTCTATATCTTCTTGATGTAACCTTGGTAGATTACGTGAGTCCAGAAAATTATCCATTTCTTTGAGTTTTTCCAGTTTATTAGCATATAGTTCTTCATGGTAGTTTCTTATAATATTTTATATTTTAGAGGTGTTGGGGTTTTTTTAGATTTATTTATTTATTTATTTGAAAGTCAGAGTTACACAGAGAGCAAAGGAGAGGCAGAGAGAGAAAGGTCTTCCATCTGCTGGTTCACTCCCCAATTTTCTGCAACAGCCAGAGCTGCACCTATCCGAAGTCAGGAGCCAGGAGTTTCTTCCAGGTCTCCCACATGGATGCAAGGGCCCAAGGACTTGGGCCCATCTTCTATTGCTTTCCCAGGCCATATCAGAGAGCTGAATCCAAACTGGAACAGCCTGGTCTTGAACCGGTGCCCATATGGGATGCCGGCACTGCAGGCAGTGGCTTAACCCACTTTGCCACAGTGCCGGCCCCCAGAGGTATTGTAATGTCTCCTTTTTCATCTCTGACTTTCTTTATTTGAATATTTTCTCTTTTTTTCTTTGTTTTTCTGGCTAGAGCCTTACCTATTTTATTTATATTCTCAAAAAAAGTCAACTTTCTGTTTTGTTGATTTTTTTTAGTTTCAATAACATTTATTTATGTTCTGATCCTTATTTCTCTCACTTATTTGTGTTAGATAAAGAGGCCCAGAATAGAGAGGAGGCAGTGTACAAATTTACAGCCAAACTGAATTTATTCAAAGAAAATAAATCTGTAGAGGTGGGTGACCAACTGCCAGCATGCATATTGATGGAATACGTGGCAGAAGGCCCTGACCCCCAGTTTCATGCCTTTTTAAAGAGGGCTAGGGATGCGGTGGGTATAGGAAGCAGCAGGCAGAGGGGAATTCCTGGAACTGGGAGGGGCCTTGGTAACCTTGAAAAGAATGCAGGGTGGGGTACAAAGGCAATAGGATGTGAGACCCAATTGTAATTCAAGGGCAAGGAATACATTCCAATGTTTATCTGTCTTTGGAGCAATTAGAAAAGATGGATAAGGCTTATGTCCTTCTTCCATCAATTCTGACTCTGAATATAAATAAGGAGAAGGGTGTCGATTTCTCTCTGGCTACTACCTGCTGATATTGGGCATAGACTTGACTTGAGCCTGGACTTGAGCAGGGGTCCATACTCGAGATCGGATTGATTGAAGAAAAGCAGTCTTGTGTTGCTCCTGTGAGATGGCTTGAGATATAGCAGTTATTCGTTCCTGCAAGAACCTTTGGAATAAGTTAATTATACATGGCAAAAATAGGAGCACTATGATTATGAGGGCAAAAGGAGATTCTAGAGCCATTTCCCATGGTGGAAACAAGGGCCAAAATGAGGCAGAGTTACTTTGTAAATACATCTTGTTAGTGCATCAGCCTGAGAACGGTGGGTCCGGTGGGGTAGACTTACATGAGGGAGATGCTACTAGTTTTACTGAAGTAAAATGTACCCAAGGGGGTGCCCTTTGACTTTGGCTGCAGTAGGGGTAGTCAATATCACCTGATAGGGCCCGCTATACTTCAGCTTTAGAGTAGCCTCATTGTGTTTTAAATAAACCCAGTCACCAGCTTGAAAGGTAGGAATATAGTCAGGAGGCAGAGTGTGGTTTGGGTATGTGTGTGTCTGTGAAATCGGAGATGACCCCCT